CATAATCTGCAGCTTGATGGATTAGATCATGGAGAGCCGCACATATTTGCAGACATGAAAATAAACATACAGTTTTCAGAGAGCTGGAACAGTAAACCCAGTCAAGCTAGAAGCTCAAGTTAAAGATGACTTTTTTCCGTTCGTGAGTAACTGTCGTATTTTTAAACCTTCTGAAGAAACTTTGCAACTTTATTGGTCTTCTGCTTGCTGAAAAATCTGTTCTTTAAGCCCTTAGACTTACATACCAAAGTCACTCTGACAGACCAAAGAGATTGCAAAGCGATGTTTCTGTGCGGTGGTCATTTTTTATCCCACCATGTAGTGAAATGAAATGCCCCTGGAAATCACTGAAATGTAAAATAGTAAATACCAGATTATGCTGCAAGATGCAATGCTAGCGCTACTGTTGCCATGTAGAAAGAAGGGGAAGCTGAAGTCACTGCTAAGTACCATATTTTTCCATGTGTAAGACACCCCCAATGTATAAGACGCCCCCCCTTTTCTAACCCAAAATTAAGAAATCTAAGTGGGGCTTAGCAAGTGTAGGGGTAAAGGGATCAGAGCGCTGCAGGATCGCTTTGATCCCTGCTTTCCCCTCCACTTGTTTTTGTTCTCTCCTCAGCTTACTTCCATGTATAAGACGACCCTCAATTTTTAGTCTAAAGATTTTAGACAAAAGTATAGTCTTATACATGGAAAAATATGGTAGCTCTACTGGGGCTTGTATGTCATAGTGGTGACACACTGTTAGCCATCTGACAGTATAAATGAATCATACCTACCAAAATCCCCCCACATTTCATAGATTTGGTTTGTTTCACTGACGGATATTCCAATGCACAACTCATGAACATGTGTAAATCATTTCCATGGGTTTCAAGATGTACTGTAAACAAACAAATCTTAGTATGAAGGTATATTTCATTGAAAAACTGAGACTGAAAAAAAATGCACTAATTCGAACTGTTGGATATCTCACTGGTTTAGGTCTCTGGCTGCAGAGCCAGAGGTTGGCAGTTTGATTCCCCCATGGTGCCCCTCAGAAGTACGTTGCTGTCCAATGGACGCATGGCTCCATGGATCAGAACCTACTGGACAGCTCAGTGGTTTAAGGGGAGGTTGAGAGTTCGATTCCCCTCCTGGACAGGGACCGTACTCAGTGACCCATAAGGTTTCTTCCAGGACTACAGTTCTAGGATTATTATTATTATAATTATCCCAACGGACTCCTTGTGTGTGCTTTTCATACTTGACGAAACGTAATCCAAGTATGAATGGTGTGGATTAGTTTTTCTTTTAAGGGACAGAAATGTGGGGCTAAATGAATCACCTATAAAGATCTAAAATGGGATTTATTTCAAGACAGGAAGGGGATTTTTTTTTACTCTTCCATTTGTATTCTATCTCTTGATCATCAAGACCAGAAAACTGATAGGGCATATGGAGTATTTCCTCTGGTGGCTGGCCCGGTACAATCAGCGTGAAGCGGTTGCTAAGCAACCAGAGCACAGGATCCCCTTTCTCCCCGGCAAAGCAAAGCAAAATAAAATAAAATAAAATTTAAAAAAAAGGCTAGGCCTGAATGCGGCCCTGATGGGGAAGAGCTAGTTAAGAGGAAGAAGCCCCAATGAATAGGCTGCGCTACATCAACACAAAAGTGTGCACAGCGTTCATTTGCTGACACTTACAGGGCTTTGATACCGCCTTAAGAGCTCCATGAGGCAACCTGGAGCCCATTATAAGGGCTTCCTTTCTTTTCAATTTCTCCCTTTTCAGAGGGCTCTTAAAGCAGAGCCGCCCCTCTCCTCTCTGGCGCTGGCTGTGTGTGTGTGTGTGTGTGTGTGTGTGTGGGTGGGTGTAGAAAGTGCATGCATACCTGTACACACCCATTTGTACATGGGTGTGTACACATCCATTTCCCCTCAGCACCTTCATTTCCCCTCAGCACCTTCAAGCAAAAGTTACCCAGCTGTTAAGAGCTGGGCGCACGGCGTCTTCCTTGATAGATAGCCAGCGGATTTTCTGAAGGACGGGACTTATTCGCTTGAAAAGCAAATCTACTCCTGATAACCCAGGGAAGGGGAAGAGGAGGGAAAGGAACAGATCCAGCATGATTTCCCCCATTCCCCCTTCTTTGCATGGGGCCATTGCTTTTTCTGGAATGTGCAATTTCCACCTTGCAATGTTTTAAGCAGCCTACTGAGCTTGCCTGTTTGACTGCAGTTTCCTGACTGTGCTAAAAGAAGGAAGAAGCTAAAGCCTGCCTGCCTTGGCCAGATTCCTGTTACTTATATGCCATCCAACATCGTTATTTCTAATAATTAGTTGCCCCCCTCCTTTTTCATATTTTGAACCTACTGATTTCGAATCCATCTTGGCTTCTCAAACAGCAGAAAACAAACTCGCCCCATCAGCCTCCGAACCTTGACTCCTGGAGCGTCGCTTAAATTACGAGGATCCGGCTTCCATTCAGAACTTTTTTGAAAAGTTAGTTTTACAAAACACTGCAACTGGTTTCTCTTTTTACTTGTTTCTGGTGTTTCTAATGATTTGTGTAATTTGTGAGTTTAGATAGTCTTGAGATACATTTTATTGTAGAATTGAGGGATATAAATATATGTTTCGAGATGGGCACAAACGAGTTTGTTCTTTGGCCGAAACAGGCATTCGGCGCTTCCCAGCCCTGCCTCCTCTGACAGGGGCTCCATCATAGGCAGTGGTCCCAGCTTTCCTGCCCTGCCTTCTCTGGCCACGGCCTCTGAGTGGCCACCCGACCAGAGGAGGGCTTCTGGGAAGCGCCAAAGACGTTCAGCCAAAGTACGAAGCTGCACGAATCACTGGTTCAGCCATTTGTGCCCATTACAAATATATAAGGTAAAGGTAAAGGTTCCCCTTGACCTTCAGTCATGTCCGACTCTAGGGCGCGGTGCCCATCCCTGTTTCCAAGCCATAGAGCCAGTGTTTGTCC